ATCCAGGGGAGAGCTCGGCCTCGTGTGTCGTGAAGGGTCCCTTGGTTGGCGACGTGCCAATGATGCCACTTCTGCAGTCAAGAGGGTGTGGATGCTGGAACATTGCCCAAGGGAGTGGGATCTTCAGCAAGTCGCGGCACTCCTCCCAGAGCATTTTGCTGATGTCACGATGTTCCGCCAGCTCCAACGGGGCAAGTGGAAAAGCTTCGTTTTTCGTGCATCTTGCCGCCGAGGCCCAGAGTGTGACCTTGTCGCAGTCCCCATTGAGATCACTGAAAATGGGGCAAAACAGCTCTTCACTTGCTGGGCCAAGATTGCCCCTCCCAGGCAACAACCGAGCCAGCGGCGCCAACTGAAAGGGGGTGATGTGCCCTTTGTCGAGAGTACCGATGTGTTCGCTCCACAGGTTATTCCCGTGTCGCAAGCCTCCAATGAGGAACCTATGGATGTCACTGGTGATGCGCAGAACACTTCTCGCAAGCCGCCTGACCCGGCGACGGTTAAGAAGCAGCGAAAGGAGCATCGACCGGTGCCGGAAGGCACCGAACTCAAAGCACAGCCGGCTGATGGGGATTGTCTTTTTCACACCATGGCTGCTGCTCTGTTGTGGATCTCAAAATCCAAGATTGATATTCATCCCCATGAACTCCGCGCCAGAGCCGTTGCTCATCTTAAACGTCACAGTGAACTTTATGAGGCGCAGTGGAAGGCGGCAGGCCAAAAGGGACCCGAGGATCAAAAACTTGACACTTGGACCGAATATCTTGATTTGGTCGCCCAACCGGGCAAGTGGACCGGTGAGATAGAACTTCGTGCCTTGTGCAGGATCTACGACCTTCGGGCCGTTGTTGTACCGGAAGATCCATCATTTCAGGTAGCGGCTTATCACCGCAAGGCAAAGGCCCATCGCACCATTGCAATATATCACACCTCGGGACATTTTGACTTCCTAGCCCCTAAGGGAGATGCGAAGCAATACCCCGAAGCCCTCCGATCCATTGACACCGATCCCAATGGAGGTTTCCTTGTAGGGGGTGGTTCTGAATTTTCGGGGTTCTCTGGTCGTTCCAAGTGGACAGCTAGCTCATCCTCGCAACATTTCAGCGCCCGCACCAGGCTCACGGGCAAAACCAGCAAGCCCTCCGCCAGACACCCTGATGCAGCCTCAGTCTTGCAGCAGCTTGATGGAGATACCCAATCCCAAACCGGCACGGTGTGGACCCATGCTCCCACCTCGCAGCCGCCTGCTTCATCCCAGGCCCTTCTTGATTCTAAGGTTTGTCAGGGCTCCACGTGTAATGCTGCCGATGCCGATTTTCTTGATGAGGAAACCTTCTCAGCCGGCAGCAGCCAAGCCACCACAGGCAAGCGCAAGCGCTACAAGGCACAAGTCCCTGGGGACGTCCCGCATAAAGGCTACTACATATGCAGACTTTGTGCATTTCGCACCCCAGTTGCAAATCAGAAACAACTTTCAGTTGCGCGCTACTCCCACTGCATGCGTCACCATGGTGGCGAGGGCTTGCCAGGTTTGGCCAAACGTGGCGAGCAGTACGTTGTGCAAGTGACAGATCAGGACAAAGGTCTGTTCTGGAAGTGCAAATGGTGCCGTA